ATAATTAAAGTTTTAAGACTTGTATGAAAAATCCTTTTAGAAAGGTAAAATCTGAATGAATTATTATAAAAAACAACTACTCTTTACAAGGAAGCTTGTTAATTTCATTGAATTAAAAAAAGCTTTAGTCCTATAATTATATCGTATATTATATATCGTTTTATATCGATATTTTTTAAACTGTGTTCATTTTTAACGTGATTGATTATGCTGCACTTTTCATAACTACTTTTTAAAAAAAATAATCACCTGTCTAATAACACTGCCTATTTTTTTAAGTTCAATTTTAGTAATTTTAAAAATTATTATTTAATTTATTATACGCTACTATATAACTACCTTTTCAATAACTCCTAAATATATAATATAAATGATGGGTAAGTTAAATTTATATATTAAAAACTCATTAAGTGACTTCCCAAAATTCATATTTTAAATGAAGATTACATTAACTCAACCTGTAATGAGAAAATAGTACTCTTTGAAAGTTTAATAACGCAATTACAAGATTATTGACATAACTGAGATAATTAAGACGTATATAACAGTAAGTGAGACATATATCGGTAAGCATTTGAAAAATGTGGTTTGAAACAATTTGCTATCCTAGTTATACTTTCTATCGTTAATACCGATTCTTCTCAAATTTTCATTTTGCAACGAATATACACTATTGGCCACCGTAAATGCAACACCCTGAAGGAAGCATACAAATAACATGAAATTTACAACATGCATTAGTGGTGGTGAGATATGCAAATGATAAGAATTTCATTCTATACACACATCACATGCGCCTCTGGCGCCACCACAAAGCGCTACTTAAGGCTTGGAGATTTCAAGTTCAGCAATTGTGTTTTTCTTGTGGTTTTTTCAAAAAAACAATCAGTTATGTCTCGTAGAAAACAGCGATCAGCTTTTGATCAAGTATCCGAGTTCGACAGTGAAAAGATAGTGGCCTACCGAGATTGTGGAATATCTTTCAGGGAAATTGGTAGTCGTGTTGGACTAAATCAAACATCTGTAATGCGGATATGTGACCGTTGGATTCAGGAGGTTACGATGGAACGACGTGGTCGATCGCATGCACCTCAGTGCATCACTTCACGTGAGAACATGCAAATATTGCACATGGCAGTGACGGATTGCTCAGTCACATCACGAACCATAGCACAGCACATTGAGTCTGTAATGCATCATTCAGTGTCTGCGCGTACCATTCGACGTCGTTTACAGCAGAGTGGTCTGTCCGCAAGACGTCCATTGCTTGGTCTACCCTTGACGCAGAACCACAGACGTCTCCGCCACCAATGGTGCGAGAAAAGAAGGACGTGGGAGGCAGAATGGAATGAAGTTGTCTTTACTGACGAGTCACGCATCTGTCTGCAACATCACGATGTCTGGAGACACCGTGGAGAAAGGATGCTGAACAGTGGCGTTGTGCACCGCCAAATTGGTCCTGCCCCGGGTATTATGGTATGAAGGGGTATTCGATATCACTCTCACACTCCTCTAGTATGCATAGCCGGTACATTAAATAGCCAACTCTACATCTCCGAGGTGTTGGAGCCAGTTGTCCTTCCTTACCTTCAGGGCTTAACCACAGGCATATTTCAACAGGATAATGCGTGACCACACGTGGCCCGCATTGTAAAAAGGTTCTTCGACAATCACCAGATTGAATTGCTACCCTGGCCGGCTCGCTCTCCAGATCTTTCGCCGATAGAAAACACGTGGTCCATGGTTTCTAAACGATTGACCCAGATTGCACCCCTAAATGCCTCACCAGATCAAATTTGGCAACATGTGGAAGCTGCTTGGTCTGCTGTACCCCAAGAACACATCCAAAATCTTTTTGAATCAATGCCGAGGCGTGTGACAGCGGTGATCTCCAACAATGGCTGCTACTCTGGCTAGTGATTCTGTCAAGTACCACACTTCACAGAAGTCTATAAATTTAATCATTTGATACTTGGTCAACATGTTATCTACAAAATAAATTTTGTTTTGCTATCTCTTGTCTTTCTTGGTGTTGAATTTACGGTGGCTAGCAGTGTATATTTAAAAAATAGAGAAATTTGTCTTTTTCATTTATGCAATTTCCCTTCTAGAACTAATTTAAGAATTCGCTTTGTTTCTTAATTTTTCAAAATACAATACATTCTAATATAAAATTATTACTTGAATTGCTTCTCATAAGGGAAAATATATTTAAAAATGCAATAAATCCAAAACAGAAGGTTTTAAACTCTTCGCGAGGCCAACACAAAAACATTGTCTTTATAAATAAACTTCATGACTAACGAATATCTCTCTCTCTCTCTCAATCAATATTTATTATACAACTCCTCACGCAGGAGACTGAGATTGATAAAGAGAAATAAGGAAGCACTAGTCCAGACTCATTTGATATGATTGGACATCGAGTGAAAACGGTCCTCCTCACGTAAGGTTACCCTAGGGATTCAGAAAGAGAGATTGGGATCTGTAGAGAGTTCGCGGAGGGATTTGGAGCACGATTAACAGTAGGAGAGATTGCTTATATATTCACCTATAGATCAAAACTGATTGCTTTCAACCAATGGGAAGTGTGGTTAAGGTAAACGAATGGGAAAGTGAAGAGAGGAAGTCCTTGTACCTATAGTTAGGTACTGTTAGTTATATCTTGCTTTGAATTTTTATTTTCCTTAAAAAAATATTAAATACTTGTATGAATGTTTATTCTAGGAGAAGACAATAAAGAAGCCCAAGAAAAAAACACCTAAAAGTTAAACTTCAAAGAAAAAAATATTTTATCACAAAAAAAAATACACACACACACAAATATTTATCATACACGACAAACAATTTTTAAATTGGACGTTGTCTCAATCATCGCATGTTCTGTGAAAAATTACACATAACTTCGAATTACAAGAAGCTCACACAGAACTCTTCACACAAGTCTTCTTTTTCAGAAGTCTTCTTAGAAAATTACAATTTAGCAGCTTGTAGATTTTATTTTAGACTTACTTCCCTAAAAATTAAACGGTTTCAGTCATTTTTGTTGTGAACATTCTTCTGCTTGAAACTCACAAATATTTAAGAGGGTACGATATTCATAGTACATCTCTAACAAAGAAGAGACACGAAAGAGAAATATAGCTTGATATATTTTTAAATTCTTATTCGAAAAGGCAAGAATTCTGATATAAAGTACTAATAATATTATTGTTTTATACATCCAGGATATCCTGCTATAAGTTTTTTGAAGTATAAGTAGCAATATCGGGAAAAAAGGCGAATTTCTCTCAATTAATTCATGCGTCGATCTTACCTTAGACATTTCCGATTTAGTTTTATTTACTTATAAAATGTTTATCATATAACTAAAACAAGGTCGGGCTGATCTTTCAATAGTTATGTAACTGTCAGAGCTCCATTGGTCACGAAACAACAACTATCAAGAGATTCACAGTAATCGAGCTCTTTTACAGCTCCATTTTAGAAGAAGATTTATTTTCTCTTAAATAGAACTTAGATAGAGATTTAATCCATGAACTTCACAGCAGCGCCCAAGCTACAGTCAAAAATATTGAAGTCTGTGTGCCCATCCGACATGATACTTATACAGTGACCATCAAACTTCGGCCGACAAGCCAGAATGGTGGTTATGACACTCGGCTTGAAACCGAGTGTGGGCTCGGGTTACAATCCCGAAAAAGACAGTGAAGTATGTTTGGGAAAAGAAGTCAGATTTTCGCCTGAAATGAATTTCCATCTCGAATGGAAAGCAGCGCTTCCCTTCGGTTCTATGCCAGGATCAACGTTTGTAATAAAGTCTATATTTTTCTGTGATTGTATTGTATGTTTTTGTTCATCTATCTTTCGTCTTTCATATGTATTCTAGGAGGAACGTGCAACAACAACAAAATTTTGTTTCTTCAGTGTGCTTTTCTCAGATATTGGAAATCATGGAAAGGGAACCTGGTTTTTCTGCATGAAGGTACAACGCGAATCGGTGTTAGGTTGAATTTCAACTCAACAGAGAATATAGCTAATATCCAAAAGTTTATGCTCTAATCCTTTTGTTTCATCACCGAATTAAATGAGCTCTTTTTTGCGTAAGAGTAACAGGAACACAAATAACAGATATTCTTGAAAACTGAAATCGTTAATACAGCCTTCTGGAAGCAGTAACCCTTAAAACTTGGATTACTATGACCGTATGAAATTCAAGACACAGCTAAAAAGCTTTGCACTCCGGTTGTATTTCGCTGTATTGAAGCAATATAGATCTTCAGTGGTCATCGTGGCCCCTAGACGATCATGTCCAAGCCTTCTCTGTACATATGTGGTCTCATTAAACTATTTCCCATGAGTCAAACATTCTATCTAAGAGTCACGAATTGACCAAAAATTATTTTGCATCTCGTTTCATTGGCGAAAAGGTTGGTGGCTGCTTTGCTACTTAGTTTAGAATTTCATCACATATTGAAAGAACACGAATAAAGTTATCGAGGTGTGCAAACGAAAGAAGCGTGGTAATTAGGCTCTTACAAGGCATTTTCCTGTAAATTCCCAGCTTGCACGTACGTGTAAAATTATTTCGTCGATACTAAGTATTTCATTTATGTTTGGAGGTATTCGTTTGTCAATTCCTACTATTAGTTCACAATCTCTCTCTCTCTCTCTATATATATATTTGTTGTGTTTGCTGAATTCCAATTTCTTACTTCTTTAGTACTGTGGGTTCAAGTTATTCTTCACTTTTATTTTATTATACTATATATATATATATATATATAATCTTGTTCAAGTTTTCAACGTTAATAAAATACTTTCTATTCACTCATTTAAGTTCAAATACATTATTTTTAAACTTGTAACAAATACCACTTGATGTTCATACAGTATTTTAAAATAGTAATTCATTAATTTAATTTTATTAATGAATAAATAGTAAAAAACAAAAATAATAGTCGAACACCATACATTAAAAAAGAAAAAGCGATCCTTGTACCCCTGCAGCGCAATGGATAGCGCGTTGGACTTCTAATCCAAAAGTCGTGGCTTCCAATCATACTTGGGATGGCTTAATTTCTGAGGTGATTTGCGAACGAATAAATAGTAACAAACAAAAATCATAGTCCAACACCATACCTAGAAAGGAAAATGGTAAATCGTTCTCTGCTTTGCCACTTAATATCGTTATTCTGTCATATATGTATTAATTGTAATTGCCTTTACAAAAAGTAACAAAAATAAAGTTTTTCTCTGTTGACCTAAGTAGGAATTCTAACTTAATTGTTTTAATATATATACTACTCAGTGTTTCAAATTCGACAAAATGTTAACTATTTTGCTTTTGATCACCAGTATCTGAGTATAAGGCTTTTATAATGGATGTTCAACTTAGATATAAAATTTTCCTGGCTTTAAATTTTTTTAAGACCTGTATTTCAACCTATACATTTACTCACTGTTTTAAAATCAAAGTGTTCAAATTTATTCATAGACACACAAAAAATAGATAAAACTCTGTGAATATGAATGCAAGTGTTTTACACTAAATTTTCCCACGATTTGTATAGCAATTTTATAATATTCTATTTCAAAGATATGGCAAGAAAGGAGGTCTGTTATTTAACATATAATTGTTTTATTTCTTATTTTTAAAATGATCTTTTCATCCATTAGAAAAAAAAATTCTAAGGTCTAGGCTTTTTAATTTATCTTATTATTGTAGGAAGTTATTGAATATCCGAAGTTTTGACGCAAAAAAATATGTGATACCTGACAACGAACACTTAAACTAAAAGGAAAGATAATGCTTTATAACTAAAAAATGAGCTTTCATATGTGAAAAATAAGTTGAGATAATTTACAAAAAGAAAGGATCTTTGGCATGTGCCAAACTACATTGCAAGATAAAACTTTATTTACGTAATTTTAAATTCTAAATAATTTTTTATTATTTATGAACGATTAATCTTACTTAAAATCAATTGCAATTTTTAAAAGTAGATTTTAAAATATTTTCTTTTAAAATGAGAGAAATTATATATCATGCTCATTTTTTTCTCTTTTTTATAAGGCTTAACAAAACTTTTCTGTAAAAATGTAGAATTTTGGAAATAATACTAAAATTTATAAAAATATTCTGTCACACTTCATTATTAAATTACTGCAATTCTTTTTTTAGTATCATCTTTAATTAACTATTAATTTGCTTCTACTAGAAAAATTTTGCATATTACTGTTTGATATAGTTTGAAGCTGTTACAGAAAGTTCTAAGGAAAATTTTTAAGATTTTTAGCTTCACATGTATCGAAAGACGTGAAAATTTAATAAGCGATTAATAGCTGATATTATGGCTTCGTGAAAAAAATTAATTCATGTCTTTATACTTAAAATTCTAAATATTTTAACTTAATATCGATCATTATTACATTAACCCTTTATCTACCGCATTATGATTTACTGTAGTTTTTTTTTCATGCAATATTTTTTTGGATCACTACATTGAAAATTAAAGGATGTACATAAACAAAATACTCAACTTTAGGAAATTTAATCCGTTAGAGCTAATTAATTAATTAAAGATATTCAACTGTAAAATTAATTATATATACTGTTCACTTGAAATAAATAGTCAGATCGTTTACTAAGGTCTTCATTAAGATACAAAAAAAATAAGACACTTAAATTTTGACATTAATTACTTTTTCGGAACAAAAATGACAATCTTCGCAATACGATCAAAATGTCTGCTGGAAACGTAATTTCTGCTCTAAAATTATTCGTCTTCCCCGCTAAAATACTCATCATACCATCCGTGCTGCCATATATTTTGGAAGAGTGGATTTAAAAGAATATTCCTACTAAGTATCGTCAGAATGTTGCTAAAAATGGTTATTCTATGTAATTTTAAAATGAGTGGTGTAAGTACCGTCGATAGATAAAGGGTTAAATCAATTGCAAGTATTCAAAGTAAAAAAAATTAGAATATTTTCTTAATTATTACAGATATATATTTTTTTAAATGATAAATCCACACAAACAATTTCTCTTATTTTGAAAATGGGAATAATCAGCGCGGTTTATTACAATAATTTCAGAACAATAATGACGGAATACTTCGATCAATCTAGTCTTTAAGAACAGTTTGAGACTGTTTGCAGGAAAGTATTTTTACACGTGGATTTCAATAATTAGAATCACATTCATTCTCTTTTTAATCGTTTCTGACACAAAAAGTTCCATTTTTATTCTGGATGTAGTACGTATACAATTTTCTCGTGGATTTTTTTCAGAAATTTCTATTGAGTCTATTATATAGTCTCAGAATTTCACTTTGGATATATGTTTAGAAATGCATTATATTGTAGCAAAAATAGTTCACGTCTATGATGGACATCATATCTTGATTGGTAGAGCATTAGACTCACAAGAGCTATATCGTCAGATCGCGCACCAGCTGCAGGCAACTTGCGTAAAGTAATTTTTTTCTTTGTATTAACTTAAGTTTCTCTTCTGGAAGGAATTTAGTGCAGTGATTCTCACAAACTTTCAATTCTTGAGACCCAATTTTCAATCATAATTCTCATTGTATCTTCCCTTTACAATAGTAATCTATTGAAAGTAATAATATGTACTTTGACGCTAAAGTTACAATACATACAGAAGTTATACAGTTATTTAAAAACAGTACAGATTATCAAGATAAGTATTAAATTTTGTGTATGTTACTTTTAAGTATGACATGTTTTAAGTGTTACTTTTCCTTACTAATTTTTAAATTGGACATATTACAAAATAATTTCTAATTAAATTAAATATTTATTTCCTTAATCATCCACTTATAAAATTTAATCCTACATTTCGTGCATATTACCTTTGTGAAAACGAATTTTGTCTGTTGTGGATGCTTTAAAGACAAAATATAGATCTCGGATAAACATCGAAAAAGAACCTTAGAGTATCAATATCCAACACAGAGTGTTTTTTTTCCAGGTATAGAAGTTTAAGTTGGCATTACTTTCCAAGATGGCGACCGATTTAACAGCTGTCAAGTGATTTATTCTCAGTTTGGTTTGGCAATTCATCATGAATAGACTCACGCCTGAACAACGCTTTCAAATTGTGCAATTTTATTTCGAAAATTGCACAATTTTGGTCGATTTTCATAAGCGAATTTTGTTTAGCGACGAAGCGCACTTCTGGTTGAATGGCTACGTCAACAAACAAAAGTGCCGCATTTGGAGTGAAGCTAATCCACAAGTGTATGTCGAAACACCGTTAAATCCAGAAAAACTGACTGTTTGGTGCGCTTTATGGGCTGGTGGAATCATTGGACCGTACCTCTTCAAAAACGATGAAGGCCACAACGTTACAGTCAATGGTGATCGGTATAGAGCCATGATTGCTAACTTTTTCATTCCTGAATTGAACAATCATGATGTCCAGGAGCTGTGGTTCCAACAAGACGGCGCAACATGTCACACAGCTCGTGCCACAATCGATTTATTGAAAGACACGTTTGGTGACCGCCTAGTTTCACGTTTTGGACCTTTGAATTGGCCTCTAAGATCTTGTGATTTAACACCGCTAGACTATTTTCTGTGGGGCTATGTAAAGTCATTGGTCTATGTCGATAAGCCACAAACGCTTGACCATTTGGAAGACAACATCGCCGTGTTATTGCCGATATACGGCCACAAATGTTGGAAAAAGTCATCGAAAATTGGACGTCCAGATTGGACTACAGCCGTACCAGCCGTGGCAGTCCTATGCCAGAAATCATATTTAAAATGTAATGCCACAAGATTATCTTTCGAATAAAAACAAATTCATGTCAATCGAATAATACATCATTTTTTTATTGCAATTTAAAGTTCTATACCTCTAAAAAAAACACCCTTTATTGAAGCATCCTTTGAAAAACTTTTCTTTGCAAGACTAGCCCTTGGAAGAGTCACAAGTAATTATTAAAACTTTTTTAAATTTAGTACTGATAAATTAATTACTAAATACATTTTGGAATACTGATACATTTATAAGTATAATGTATCAGTTTAAATGTGTATTTTCTTTTTATTATTTTTAATGCGACTGGTACTGTATTTAATTAAAAATGCTAGTTTTAAGGCATATACATTTATTGCGACTGCTTTGTGCAGTGTCTTCCTTGCAAGAGAATGTGCAAGAGTGGGTGAGCGAGGTGGGGGTGACGATCGCAGCGCCAATAATTATGTCAGAATGTACACATTTCGTTTTGCGTGTAGGAGGCCCGCGCCTCTCTCGCGAGCACCTAGATGTGTGGGGGAAGGAAAGAAACACGCGCCATGATTAAAATCTCTAATCTATTTATTTCAACACTAAGAACAGACACAATTTCAACTAATAATATTAAGAGAATGTCTCAATGAAAATCGTGAAAGTGGAACAACGACTGTAACACGTAAGCGATTAGTCGACTAACAAACTGGATCCTATTTTTAAAATTCAGGATCTAATTCATTATCTGATTTAATCTAATCTTAATTCAATCTTAGTGAACATTCGTCACTTTAAGGTTTCCTTCTAATAATAATGAAAGCTCTATAATTCAAATCTTATACCTTTAATATCAATCTCACCTGTCTAGAGTACATCTCCGTTCCTTCTCTCGCTCAAGCTAGAAAACCTCACCTATTTATTGTAAGTTAATTTGCATATCACAATTGTCTTCTTCCGAAGGGCTGGTTGTGAATAACACGAATTGATATCCCCAAAGATTAGTTCGAAGGTCACGTATAGATGCGTCACATACTTCCTTTAAGTAAATTTATAATTTTTTGAAGTAATTTTTATTTTCGATGTACTTGTACTCCCCACGTTGGGCTGTAAAGGACCCCTTGAGTCCCCCCTGAGTTCTGCCCCACAGTTTGAGAAACAGTGAGGTATGCGATCAAGAATGATGCAAAAACACATTTACATTATAGCTTTCACAGTTATAGTAGTAGTGACAAAAATAATAAAAATTTCGAATTGCAATACTCCCTTTTTGTCATTAAAATATAATCCACAATATTACAAACATAGAATTGAG